ATGATCATCGAGCTTCCTGTTGTTGATTTCCTGAGGCTGCACACGAGCACATCTGTGCTGGTGTTATTTACACACACCCATTGTGGGCAAATGCTTACATAAATATGATAACATAAAACAAGCATTGCATGTGTGTGTCATTGTTTTATTAAGTTCACATGAACTACGGCTGCTGCTGCTGCATTCACAGTTTGTAGGAAATATCAGCACTTAAGTGCTATGAAAGACTTATATGTTATTCCTCCACAGATACGAGCCTAAGACCAACGAGCTGATCAACGAGGAGCTCGGCATTGCCTATCCCGTCATCGACGGCATTCCCAACATGATCCCTCAGGAGGCCAGACTCATTCGGAAAGATGCTTCAGACACACCTGCACAGTAACACAAAAGCCTTCACTTTGAGTTGACCTGAGCAAAAACAAACTGGACGCTGGCTTTAAAAAACTGTTTGACTAAATAGAATTGAGGTGTTGGATTATTTCAGTTGTATTTTGCCATTCTAGCCAAAGCGCACGTAACGCATCATCATCATCATCCGGCAGCGCGTTACCTCCGAGCCCATCTGCAAACATGTTGTCCCTGTCTGTGATGGTGGGACTGGTCCCCATAGTGTCCCTCTTTGGTTTGTTCTACTCTGCGGCGGTGGATGAGAACTTCCCTCAGGGCTGCACCAGCAGCAGCAGTCTGTGCTTCTACAGCCTGCTGCTGCCCGTCACCATCCCCGTCTACGTCTTCTTCCACCTCTGGAGCTGGATGGGGATCAAGCTTTTCAGGCACAACTAGCCTCACACAGTTGTAAAACATCTGAAGTGGCTTTCATTTTTTTAAGCCCTTTGTCCTCCCGACATTTAGAGTATGAGACACAGTATGTTAGTCATTACAGCTGTTAAACAAACCCCTGGATGTCGTTTGCACATAAAGTAGTAGGCTGTATATTTTCTGAGCAAATAATAAAAATCTTTATGCAAATCCACTGTTTCCATACTTGAGTCCTGACTTCACAAAACGGGAACATCTACTCGTTTTAAATGAATGCATTTGAATATATAACAGACTACATTTGTGCAGAATCGACTGTGCTGTGATCTGCAGTGTCTCAGTTTTACTGCATTCGGAAAATTCACAAGCTGATATTTAAAAGTGGAACTCAGACAAACCTGCCTGACAGCTCAAACATGACAGAACACCCAAAACTTTTAAGTCGCGCTGCACAACACCGTCCTCAGATGTGTTTTTCTACCACAGTTCATGTTGAACTCATGAAAGCGTGATTCCTCTTGTGATGAATGTTGGGAACGTTCAGCCGGAGCCTTCAGCGTGCATCATAGAGGGGAACGCGATCTGGCAGCATTGGAGCTGCTGACTTTCTGCTCAAAGACTCGGGTTGAGCTCGAGGTTCTGGAGCAATGCAAATTTGACACACGCTGCTCTTCACCTGAAGCCACGAAACCTGAACTGGTGTTGCAGAAATGATGCAGTGTCTGCTGGAAAAATTTTGGGAATACACAAACTGTGACGTCTGAGGACTTTAATCTGAATCGAGAGTTACGATGGAGACAGGTCGGAGTGTAGAAAGCTGAAGATTCCTGCTTTTGAGTTTCAAACTTTGATTTTAAAGTTGTTTCTTTTCTTCTGTGTTCTCACAGTCATGCTGTTTTTCTTTCCTCACAGCTGCTCATCCTTCTGTGAAACAGAAAGAAACAGGTTGGTTATTTTATT